TTTTTAAAATTAATATATTTTATTATATATACGTTTAATTAAACCGGGGGGTCGGAAATCGCAATAAAAATTTTAATTTTTTAAAAATATACGGCCAGCTAGTATTCACCCTACTTTAAACCCTTGTCCTCCCGAGACGTCTATGAGAATGTCCCAGGAAATCTGACACCAGATGTTCTCAAGGTCATCCAGCTGTGTAAACAATGACTCATCACTGTCAAATTTCGCAGAAAGGCGAGACAATGGAAAATAAAGTTTGAAGCTTTTTCTTCAAAATTAACGCATTTCTTTCGTTTTTTTTCAGTTTTAAGTATTTTTTATGTTTAAAAATTCCTTTAAAAAACTTCATACGCCAAGTGGTTAATAATACGAAGAAATCAGCCTCCACCGTACTCGGATAGAGATGGTTCGGTTAAGCTTTTAAGTTAACTTTCGGCTCTTTCATCAGGCTTTTGTTTATGTCCCCAATTCCCTAATCGCTTAATTATTTAACTACTACTTAAGTAGAAATAAGTCGAAACAGGTTAATTTGTACGTGAATACAGTCTACCCCCCTATAACACGGTAGATATGTTCCGGTTTTTATGAATCCATTTTCTACGAGTCCAGCCAATCACAGCCCGGCACGTATGCAGTTTACGGACTACGGCTGTTTGAAAGGTTTCGTCCATAAAATGAATCGATTCTAGACTAATTCGACTCAACATTTCCAAAATACGTATTATTTTTTGGGAATAATCCATATAAACTATGCTATTTATAAACAAAAAATCGTAGGATTACTTACCGAGTGTGCGTTCGACTATGCCATTGCTTAAGCTTGTTTTCATCGTGGAGCTTGTCATTGAATGGCGCTCGCGTGCTTCCTGATAAATTATTTTTTTTTGCAAAAAATTCGCTGAATTTTGGAGACATCATTAATATAAATATAATTTTTATGGACGTTAAATAATAAATGGTTTTTAGTAGGTCCGCTGCTCGTTTAAAGTCAACCGTTTATACAATATCCGCTATTGGTCTAGATTCGACTAATTCTGTCACGACACGAGTCGGCGATAACGTTTTACCGAATTATACGAGTTTTTTTTAGCATGTTTGTATGAATAGTGTCGCAATTTTTTCGCCGTGATATAGGAATCCGAGCCATAGGAACCCGTGTTATAGGGGGGTCGACTGTATTTGTAGTCTCGGGGAAAAAATTGGAAAGACAAATTTTTATTACAGATGGATACATAAATCATAAATTTAAGGAAAATAAATTCTAGAGCTTTTTCTGTACCTCGTGCATCTCTCTCATTCATTAAATTTAGTTGTAAATGATGCTGTCAAAGTAACAGTTAATTTTTTAACATTGTACAAGAATTGTACACGTTTTTTTCTACATCCCCTTAAAGATAGGANTATTTTTTGTAATAAAAATTTAAAAATTTTTTAAACATATTTTTAACCCTTATTGATTTAAACAATTTAAATAATAAAAACATTGATCATCATGACCATACATGGTTACTCTAATTTATGATATAATTTTAAATTAGAAAAACTTACAGTTTTCACTTCGACATATTCTTTCAAACCATCTTCTCCCCTTTAAAATAAAAATATATTATTTAATTTCATAAAATTAGATCTTTCTTTTTAATAAATTTATTTCATATCTGAATAGATTACTGTCACAATAAGGCAACTGAAATAAATTTGTACATGGATAAATTTTAAAATTTACAAATAGGAATTCAGTTTACACTATACATATTCTTATCAATCTAATGAACAAATAATTTATGTAGTCATATAAAAAAACTTAATAAATACTGTTGTTTGAATAATAACTTCTTTAAAGAGGAAAAAGTCATTGTTAATGATTTTTAACAATTTACAAAGTTCCTACTCAAATTTTTGTTTTAAATTCCATGATTTTCCCTGAACTTTATGTCCCTTATAATATGGCACAGTGGACGGCTGGATGGCCAAGGTGGCAGCCTACTGCTCTGGGGGGATCCGGGATCGAATCTGGACAGGTCAAGGAATCCCCAGGAATTTTTCGGGGGAGTGGTCCATTTGGATATGTCAGGCCCTGTCCTCATTTTGAGCCTGACCGAACCCATAATGGGCCTGCTATAAAAGGCCCTCTTAGTGCCCACAGGGCGGAAAGAGGTAAAAAAAAAAAATAGAAAAATATGGCACATTGACAAAATAAAACAGCGTTTGATTTACTATGCACATATGCTATTGCTTCTCTAACTTTTTAATTAGTTATTTTTTATAATTGCTGATCATACTATACCTTACACACTTTTCTAGCAGTAGTTTAATCAAAACAAACATTTTAGAGTGGTTATAGTCTACCACTAGAACTCAGTTTTTTTCTTTAATTTGTATTTTAATACATTTTTAACTTGAGACATACCTCTGAACAGGGGTTGAAAACATTTGTTTTGATTAAACTAGTGCTAGAAAAGTGTGTAAGATGTAATGTGATTGGTATATTTATTACCAGTTTTTCTACAGTGCTTTATAATTACTGAATTATTAATGCTAAAAATAAAATGTTTTATTAAATTGTGGTAGTTTATTCTGTTATTAATCCACAACCATAAATCTAAAACAATTGTTTATTTATAATTTGATAATGGACAGCACGCTAATCGTTTATTACAAAAACTTTTAACATATAACATATGTTTATATTCTACCGTTCCTATCATTCCAAATTTGCTATTTAAGATTGGAATGTTTTTAAAAATTTTGTATTAAAAAAAAAAAGGTTCTAATGACCTGAAGAAGACGAAAGTGTATATCGTCGAAAGCGCTCGTCAATTTAGTGACATAGGTGTCTAATTTAACGCTTATATGTTAAAAGTTTTTGTAATTGTTTATTTATTATTCATTATCAAATCCTGTATAAACCATGTACAAAAGTATATATTTATTAAATTTCTCTCTTAATAAATTTCCTAAACTTTATAAAATATTAATAAACTTGGAAAAAAATCACAAATTGTTTTGTTACACAATCAAAATTTTTAAAATGAAAAATGATAAATAATTTCAATTTAAATGTTATAATTTAACATATTTTGTACTTTAAATTTTTTGGAAAATTTTGTGTATGCTTGGATGAAATTTTTGGTCCTGAAAATACTCTGTATCCCTTTTCATAAGTTGTACTGCACTACATTATTTCTTGCTGCCTGCAGACGGCTATATTTAGTCAGCCTATACTGTCAGCAAAAAAATCAACAAGGCAGCCAAGGAGACAAATTCCATGACTTTCTATGACTTTTTCCAAATGCTAATGAATATCCCTGATTTTTCTCACTTTCCAGGTGCATAGGAACCCTGAATTTATTAAAGAATAAATTTATTCATAAAATTCTTTTAAATTTTTTCCATAAATTTCTATTCTTTTGCTACAAACTTAAATCGATAATAAAATTATACTATAAATATCTAAAATGCATAACAAATTCAGTTTATGTTTTGATATATATGAGGGTGGTTTTTTCAACCTCCAATGGTCCATAAAACAAAGACAAGTGTAAATAACAAAATCAATTTATTACCTAAAGTTAGGTACAAACATGGTTACTTTACAACATAATCACCATGAAGATTGAGGCATTTGTTATATCTGTGGATGCGTTTTGCAATCTCCTCTTCATGGAATGTTGCCACCAGTGACTTGAGATGGGCATTAACATTGTTTTGAAGATTGTCATTAGTCTCGAACCTCTGATCTCCTAGCCACAATTCAGGGAAGAGGTGGAAGTCTTCACACACCTCTAATGTGTGAAGACTTCCACCCAGCTTGGAACTTTTTAAACCCCCAGTGTATAGCCCTAATTTAGCACCAAGCAACTTCTACCTCTTTCCTGAACTAAAATGTAGCTAGGAGAGCAAAGGTTCGAGACTAATGATGATCTTCAAAACAATGTTAAGGCCCATCTCAAGTCACTGGTGGCAACATTCCATGAAGAGGAGATTGCAAAGCTCATCCACAGATATAACAAATGCCTCAATCTTCATGATGATTATGTCGAAAAGTAACCTAACTTTTGGTAATAAATTCATTTTGTTATTTACACTTGTCTTTGTTATATGGACCATTGGAGGTTGAAAAAAAAACTGCCCTCATAAATAAAGTACAATCTGAGAGATTCTACTTGTCAAACTGATATAAAATAATTGATTTTTTTACTCTTATGAGAAAATAGCAGTTAAACAAGAGAACCATACAAATTAAAAACTGCATTGGAATATATATATATAAACTATTTTCAATCAAATCAGGAAAGGAGCCAAGAAAGTTCCTTATTATTTCAACTGATGATAATTTATGATATGTTCAGATTTCATTTCAAACATACTAAGATAAATTATTATTAACAGAATAATATTTTAAAATTAAAAATTTCTATAATATGATATTTAACATAAAATTATTTAGTGTTAATTAAATTAATTAATAATAATTTAATTTAATTTAATTCTATAATTCATTGAAATATTAGTTATTATAGTTATATCGTTTGGTACAATTTGGTAACTATATATAAGTTATTTTGAGACTCGATGAGTCAGAGTTGAATCTAAATTTTCAAGTCCAATTTTAAAATATATTGCTTTCTGTTTATTGAACAATGGTATCTACAATACTTTCAGACAATGAAAAATCTATATATTTTTAATAAAATCTAAATAAAATATTTTTGTCTAGTTTAGTTACTATCTATGTAAACCTATATGTCAAAACTTTCATACATTTAGCAAATACAATTTACTAATTAAAACTGATATCCTGTTTTGCAAATACCTCTTTAATCATAATTACAAAATTGTGTTGTTTGCATCAATACTTTCTCATGTCATTTTTCAAATAAACCCACTATTATATGAAACAAGATATCTTAAAAATAAAGCAACTAAATATTTAGAGAGTTTACTATAAATATGGATAATATTTCACATGAGTAAAAAATAGCTTGTTTATTATTATTTTTTTTTTTTTGTGGGTCAATTTTCCACAGACATTGTAGTTTGGCCAGGCCAAATTCACAATGGGACAATTGGGTAGTGAAGGACAAAACTCAACTTATCTGGGAGAGACCATCCCACCCAAGAAGTTTTTCTGGAGAGTTGCTCATCCAGACTCAATTCTAAATCCCGAGTGGTAGGTTGATGCTTTAACTGCCACAACCATGCAGCTTCAAGCTACTAACTTTGTAATCACCTTGAAGAATCCAAAATTTTTGATTTCTTTGGCATTTTTTCATTTCTACCTGCTTTTTCTTCTAGAATCCTACAGTTCAAAGTTTTTGGACTAAATACAAACTTTTCTTATAAAAATTGAACTTTATATATAAAAACAACTCACTAGAAATGTTACTAGAGCTCTGTAAGTGAAAATAAAAGGATGGTTTATTAAGGTTTGTTATGGTCTTTTGTGAAATTATAAGACTGTTAAAATTGGGAAAAGAAGAAACTTTGATCAGCTTTTAACTGATATTAAAAGAAGTTCTATAAATTAATACTAAACCTAACTCAAAGAAGATATCTTCATTCAGATATATGTAAAGTTATTTTATCTGTTTCAAAATATAAAAAATCAACTAATTCAGTTTTTACATATTAAACAATATTTAATATTCCTTTAGTATTTAAGATGAGAAACTTAATTGATGTCTAATTAATTAATTAATTAATCATCATGAGTAATCATGTAACAAATTTTATTCATTACATAATAATTATTTTATAATAAAATTCTGATATAAAATTCTATATGTAAAATTTATTGTAAAACTTACAATTCTCTTCCAAATCCTGACATTTTGAAGCCACCAAAAGGAGTTTGGGAGGTAGTGGCATCATAACAATTTACCCTAAAAATAAATTTGAAATTTTCTTGTAGTAAAATCAGTGCAAATAGATTTAAGCTTTTACAATAATAAATATGTATCAAAATAAAGTTTTATTTTTATACCAGACTGATCCTGCTTGTATTCCTTGAGCAAATGTTAATGCTGTGTCAATATTTTTTGTTATGACACCAGATCCCAATCCATAATGAGTAGCATTTGCTCTTTCTAAAACTTCTTCCATGGTTTTAAATTTTAAAATTTGTTGGACTGGACCAAAAATTTCCTCTTTAGCAATACGCATATTATCTTTTACATTTGAGAATACTGTTGGCTGTACAAAATATCCTTTTTCTCCAGTTTTATTTCCACCACATTCCAATTTGGCACCTTCTTTTTTGCCCGATTCAATTAAATTCAGTATCTTATCAAATTGTTCTTGATCCACCTACATATATATAAATATATATATTAAATTTTAAAAGTACAATTTAAACTTTTATATGCAGAATCAATACATTAGAATTATAAATGTACTTATCAGAAAATTTGAAATATAGTATTCAATATTTCTTAATATATTTAGTCTTTTTAAAAACTAATTTATAAAAGATAGATATTAGTAGATGCTTTCAGTATTGATAAATCCTATTTCAGATTCAGTTTTTGACAATAGTAAATAATCAATCATTGTTGATAATATGAGACATAAAAGCTTAAAGGGAAATGTGTGGTGGCTTATCCATAAAGCCTGCAGCACTAAAGCTTCCCTAGAAATTCTGAGAAAAAGACTAAATCACGGTTGTTCAACCTTTTTTTCCTAATGGGCCAAATTAGAAATTTATATATATTCAAAGGTAATGTACTTTATATAAATGTATGCTTTTAAAAAGTTCAAAATGTGAATATCAAATTTTAATAACAAATATATATAATTACAAAAAATACTGTATTATTGTCAGTAAAAAAAACATTATACTTCCACAAAATAAAAGTAAATTCAATGCAATTTTAGACATTGTATTTTTCAATGCAATTTTCAATGCAACACATTTTAGACATTCTTCCTTTTATAATATTGTCAATATCTGCATTTATAGTACTAGTCTTAATTCTAAGAATGTTAGTTAAATGGGAATCACTTAACTTATTTCTTTCAGCGGTTTTGATGTTTTTCATATGCAAAAAGAATTATTCACAACAATATGTACTACCCCACATGCATAATGGTTTTCTAGAACCAATTACATCATTGACATCAAAGTGTATCCAGTGAAATGAAAATAATTTTTAAGACATACTTTATCAAAATAAATGAAAATGTATCTAAAAAGTGTGTAGGGTGCAGTAGGCTTGGGCTGCAGGTTGGACATCCCTGGACTAAATAACTCAATAAAAAGTTTTTATTAGGAGATATGTGGGCTAAATCCAATTGTGTTTTAACATTTAAAGCCATGTTTTAATTTATTATTTATGGCATTTAATTGTTATTTTTAGCTTAAATTACATGTATTTGTTGTTTTAATTTTAATGAAATGGATATTATTTAAGTCTGGGGATGGATTATTTCACTATCCATTATTTATATTGCAAAAAATTGATTCAGACCTCAAATGATTTGGAGTTTGAATGGCCTCCTGGAATGAATTAAATTTGAGGTATGAGGCACCACTGTACTTATTTAATTTTTTACATTATTTATTTTTAAGCCTTTTTAATTACATAACCATGGCTCTAGCCTGTCCTCTAAATATATATAAATATCTTTAACAGTATGTGGTATTATGCATTAACATGAAAGTATTCTACTAACATTATATACTGTATTAATTTATATTTTATATAATTTAATTGATTACTAGATTGCAATTTGTATATAAAATAAGTAAATATATTTACTTATTTTAGATCAATCAAAAAAGATCTAAAATCAATCAGATCTTAAATTTTTAAAAAAAATATATATATATTTAATTACTAAGCATGTTAAAATGCAAACTTCAGAATCTGGCATGAATAATTATAACCTATACCAATAAAAATTGTCCAAAACACTCTCTCTTCATAGCAGAAACCTACGTAAATCAAAAATAAATCACAGAATGAAATGATTCAATATGTAAAATACTATTATAAACTGAAAATCTGTCTAAAGCAGAAATGAATGATGTTTTAGTTACTGAGTGCACAATGTAAGCTGAGTAAAACAGAACTTTTTGCTGTAACTAAAGCTAAATTTTAAATCATAATTACTCTAACTTGCATGCTCACATCCTGGATGACTTATTGCAATGAGTTACAGTCTATCATTTTGTTTCTGTTAAGATTGTACTTTTGTTGTTTAAAAAGTAGCTTTGGCAATGCAATGCTATTGCTTCTCCTCAACTTTGTAAAAGAGTTAACTTATTTCCTGGTATTGCCAGAAATATTTTAAAAAATACATACTAGTTTTGGAAGAAAAAAATTTCATGTTCTAAAAACCCAAAAATATAATTACTAAAACTAAAATTAATTTGATATATTCATGGTTTTCACAAATAAAAATTATCAAATTATTACAGAAAAATGTTTTAGGAATGTTTCCACACCTTTAGGGTAAGTGCACACTTAAGTGAATGGATGAAAAGAAAAAAAATCTCCTGCATTATAAGTTATGGATGTGTGCACACTAGGCAGGCAATGCAGATAGAGGAAACTTGGAAAGGAATCTGTCTTGCATTCTTAAGAAGACAATATTTCTGCCTGTCCATCTCAAATTGGCAAGGTCACTAACCCAGATGTCCAGCTGTCAAAACTCTTGACATCAGCCAAAATCACTTCTTTCTTTTCTTTTCTTTTTTTTTCTTTTCTTTTTTTTGAGGGAACACTGTCATTTGTGTATATTTCTTTTACCATGGCAGATTCAATTTCTGTAGTGATAAACTATAAAGTATTAGATGATTTATGGAATTCTCTTCTAAGATTAGATAATTTACTACTGTGAGAAGCCGGGGATTAGAGTCAAGCTCTAAACCCCTTTTGATTGGTGATGGGTTGGTTTTACCAACCCACATTGTCACTGGATGCCATAATCTATTACTTGTCATTGGGATTTGCAAGATCCCTTTGATGTCAGGACCTGACACCAATTAGGATTGAATTTAATGCGTCCTAACTCACAAATTGTAAACAAATGTTGAGTAACAGGGCCGTTTTTAACAAGTGGGAAGGTGCATTGAATCTGCCAATAGGGTGACCGTTCTCCAAATAAAGTCAATGCCAGACAAAAACTCACTACTCACCACACCTATATATCAACACAAACACTGAACCAATTTACGGTGTGGAACGATCAACTAATCATAAAAAACAAACGTTTTCGAACCCCTTCTGGGCTCTTCATCAGGTTTTAGCTCGTAAAATTCAATTGACAAATCAAATTTTACGAGCTAAAACCTGATGAAGAGCCCAGAACGGGTTTGAAAACGTTTGATTTTTATGATTAGTCGATCGTTCCACACCGTAAATTGGTTCAGTGTTTGTGTTTAAAGTCAATGCCAGTTTAACTAAACTAATAAATTTAATATACAAAATAAAGCATAGGATACAATTATAGTGGTATGTGTTCCTAAGCATATATATATGAGCCGATATCAATGGGGTCAATGTCCTAGGCTATATACAAATGCTAACTTTGTTTCTAACTTGACTGAGAGAAAGTTTACATCAATCGAAAAATTATCATACCTCCTGCCATGATGTCTGTTGTTCAACAGTAGATTATTATTGGAGGTGATACTTGCATAAATCACTAACACAAATGATAAGGGTAATCCTTTGGACTATAATTATGGTGGGATGAGCCAAGACTATCATAGCTACTAGAGATGTCTGCCTATCATATGGCAAGATGAAATGAGACTTTCTATAGCTTCTGGGGATGTCTGCTTCGATGAATGAGTGTTTGGCCATTATATCCTCATCTGGTGTGGGAATTTGGTCAGGTGATTCTTTGTTTGGCAGCAACGACAGGTCAAAGGAAATTAAACAAAATCGATTAGAAGGTTTAGGATTTCTTTCAATTGTTTCTAGATTCTCTCCGTGGACTAGGTTAAATTGACATTTAGTCAATTTTCTCACACTTTAACAATTGATTGTTTTAACATATTTTCGATATTTTCAAGAGTTGATGTGAGGGGAAGAACTTTGTCACTTTGAACACTATAAACATGAATTCTTTAGTTGCTTGTTGATAGTTAAGTCAACATTCAATATTCTTCCTTTTTTAGCTCTGTGGGAATCAGACAGAATAAAGAAGAGTTTCTAAAACATATATTTTTGTTAAAAATTATAGAAAAACAGCCCCTGGATTCTCACACTACCATTAATTATTCATGGATGTTAAACATCCATGTTTAACATTCTTCTTCTTGTTAACATCCATGTATTTTTAACATCATTCGTGTTAACATCTATTCTTCTATTTAACATTCACTAGCAGGAACACATTAAAATCAACAGTTTATTGAATTAAAACACAATCAATGAGCTCATTTAAAATTTGGCACTCTACACAAAAATCATCACTATAGTAAATGTTTTCTAGGTCTCTCTGCAGGTGAATTGCATCTACTGTTCTACAGTACCATGAAAGTCCTCTCACTGGTCCTGTCTCCTGATGACATCTTTCAATTTTGCATCTGGATCTCAGGTTAGTAATTTAACAATCTTAAGGCTGAATAACTTCAATTGGTGGTGCTTTGGATTAATGGTGAGGTTTTTTTAAACTCTTTTCACCCTGTGGGCACTAAGAGGACCTCTTTTAGCAAGCTCATAATGGGTTTGACCAAGCCTACAATGGAGTGGCTGGGTGGAGAGGGATGGGACCCAACTTACCCAGTTGAACCACCACCTGAAAAATTCATGGGGTTTTTTTAACCCATCTGGATACAATCCTGGGTCCCCCAATAGGCTGCCACTTTGACTGCTCAGCCATCTGGCTGTCAGATTAATGATGATGGTAGTGGTGGCTTGTCCTATGACAATCCTCTTGTCCTGGGCTTTGCAAATAAAACTCTTAGACTTACAAACAGTCAGATGTTCAAGTTTACTCTTCTTTTTGTTAGTAGGTTTGTCAAAAAAACTTTATCAGGCAGCACTAAGTAACAAATTGGATGGTTAGAATCACATTTTGGTCTCATCATGGAATAATGATAAAATAAAAACAGAGATTGATGCTAAAGTTGGTAGATGGCACTGTAGTCAATATTGACAAAACTAATTTATTAAAAAACTTTTATTGTCTTTTTTAGTGTTGAAAAGTACATGTGTTTATTACAGATTCTAAAAAATTAAAATACAGTAGAGCATCGATTATCCGACCCCCGGTTAACCATCACATCGGTTAACCAACCATTCTAGTCGGCAAATTTCAAATGTCCGCTAGAGATATGGCATTACAATATTGGG